CCAACGCTGTGAAGGCCGAACTGAACATCTTTACGGTGCACCATCAGTCTGTCCACATGTAACTTCTCACCTACATTGCTTGCCTCATTTCACCTAAAACACAAATCACAATCCTCTTCCTTTTCAGGTTAAAATAGTTACACCTCATTATACAGGAAGCTCTGTTGCTGTGTTTTGTTTGTTTGCTTGCTTATTTGTCTATGTGGTTTGAGTGTCCTATCTCGCTCTAAAGCCATACCTATTGTGAGCCAGATTAGCCTTGGGCAATTACTTTATCCCATAGCTTCCCAAAAGCCTGTCAAATCTTGATTTTTGATGACCCGCTTCTTCTGAATGACCCCCCTTTCCCTTGCATCTTTTTTTATCCTCACCCTACCCTACACCCCCAAATCCTGCAGTCGTTTTAGAAGACACAGTCTCTGGCCCAAAAACAATATGGTAGCCTTGGCAGTATCATTAAGAGAAATCACCAAAGCCCCGTTACCTGAGACTTTCCCTCTCAACTCTAGCTCCTAGTTGGAGAAACTGAGGTCTAAGCTTATTTCATTCAAGGATATCCTGTATCTTTTAACCTGGTCAGCATTAAATCAGATACTTTGGGAGAGAACAGCCACTTGGCACCAAAGGTAAGCTCTCCAACCAAATTCTTGATGGAGGCAGAAACCTATTCTCTGTGCACTGTTTGTTCAAAGGGAGAGAGCTCAGATGTGGCCTCAGGTTGGCTCAGGAGTTGTGGCTTTGCTTGGGTTTGCAGCTGAAGTCTAAAAAATATAGGGACCTCAAGCCAACTTCCCAAAGTCTCCCAGTGAGTGGTGGCAGCTTGACTGAGGTGTAGAACACCGAACCCCCTCATGGCCGGTCCAGCTCTAGAACCACTAGACCACACAGTCAGTGTTCAACGTGCACTCAGCAAACCTCAACCTCCAGGCTGGGAGAAACAGATTTTCCAAAAACAGAGCTCTCTTTGTGAACAATTCAGCAAAAATTCTCTTTCCAGCTGTGAGTAGAGGACTCAAGTTGCAAATGCTGGTGTTAATTAAAAACATCCACCTTCTACAGTTTCAACAACAAGAGAAAAGTACCACGTAGGATGTGTTCCCAAGCACTCCTCCCCGAAGCACTTATAAATATGATTTTATTTATAACACGGGCTGCTGAGGTTCGGGCTGATATTATCATTCCCCATTTTCAACCCCCAGTGGAAGAGTTGGGCCAAAGGAGACAAATGTGATGGGTCCCAATTTGCACAGACCAAAATTAGCATCAGAAGAACAAACCAAAATACTGTTCATGTCCAGAGCATGAGCTAAGCTGTTCAACTTTCCGTGTTCCTATCAGGAAATTTACTCCCTTGAAATCAAATGTTTATCCGTTGAGTCACTAGAAAACTTGTTTCACGTGGGCTCTTCAGTCCTTCAGACATGAATAAAATGTGGTGTGACGAGGCCAGGCACATTCCACCAAGGATGACCCCCATATATTCAATAATTGGGATAATGCACTATACTTCCCTGTATTCTCATTACACGTTTATTAGGAAATCTTTATCTGAGCTGGTCTTGAGATCGTGAGATCAGCAAGACTGAGCTGCCTTTCTTCCTCAGCTTGTCTCTGGTTGGTGAGTCTGTCCTGCTTTTCACACATGCACCAGACAGGAAAGAATCGAGCCAAACCCACATTGTTATGAATGAATTTCTTTGTTTTTAATCTCACACAGTTTAAAATACAATATGAAATCAGGCTACAGTATATAAAAAACTCTCCAGCAAAATGATGTGCCAGCATCAGCTACTAAAATAAACAAACAAAAAAACTCCCCCATAAGAAATTTTTTTTGCATTAAAAAAAAAAACACATAGACACTTACATCGCTACATCTCTAAGCTACCTCAGTTCTGATTTTTAAAAAGCACCTGCTTTTCTTTTTTTCATCTTGCTTTTAAATTTTCAGCTTTTTAAAAAATATAAATTATATGAAAATACAAGTTGGAAAATAGTCAAACACAATATAACATCTTTTTCACCCCTATACTTCTCAGCTTAAAAAAAAAAAGTATTCTTAAAAAAAGTTCAGTAACTGAGGCAGTATTCCTGATAGAGATAATTTCATTTTAATATATATATACTTTATATATGTATATGCATACATATATTTATGGTTCCTTGAAACTTCTTTGGAATGTAGATATGAGTTCAACACATTTATATAGACCCCAACAGAAAGCAGCACGCACAGCATGACTAGAACAGAGAAGGTGTGATTTTTCACCATGAAGATTAGGCAGGTTAATGCTCTAAAACCCGGAGTGTTCGTCTCCAAAGTGAGGAAAAGCACATCTGATCTTTGAATGCTACCTCCAATCCCCAAAGCCACAAAACCAGGGCTCTGTGTAGGGAAGTTCTTCCCCTGCTGGGAGAAGGAAACAAAAGTGACCCCGAACCCGACAGCCAAAACCAACACGGGTTAAGGCATCTCCAGGAAAATAAGGGTTTCATCATCTCAACCAGATTTGCCCATCCTTCCTCTGAAGTTAACATGTGTTTTTAAAAAGCATAAATGCAACAAGTCTGCTACATTTCCAGTGTATAAACCACCCACCACTCTTCCTGGGATGGTCTCTGGCCCCTGGACAGAAGGAGAAAAAGCATCTGGCCAGATGGACAAAGCTGTCTTCTCTAACTAGCGCACTATCTACAAATACTGAAAATGGCGGACCTAGAGAGAGAGGCATCTTAGCAAACAAGCGGGCTGAGGAGCAGGAGGAGACACTTTCTTATCTCTTATCTGCTATGGAGTTCTTGCAGGACTTAGACATGCTCACACAAGGGGAGTTTCCAGCAGAAACGCAAGAGGAAATGTGGGTGCACTGAGAAAGTCATGTTCTGCCTGGTTGCCAACAGCAAGCAAGACCGATGCCCTGCCTTGGTTCTACTCTTGCCTGTTGCTGAAATGTGGAAAGACTTAACCGAAAAACCCAGGTATTATTTTAGCGGCAGTTCTACATGTCTGCAAGCATGCACACACGCACACGTACACGTGCACGGGCACACACACACGCCTTTGCCAGTGCCCAACAAAGATCCCATAATCTAAGAGAAAACAATGTAATCCAACAGTTCCGCCTAACACTCCCTGAGCAGCTCCTAAAATATTCGAGAGCTTCATTAAGGCACCTGCACCCGGAAGAAGATGAGAATACACAGCTGGGCCAACTCTGTCTTTGCTTTCCAAGGAGACACTGCAATTTAACAGTGTAAGGAGACTCATGAATCACAGAGCTGGTTTCCTGATAATTCAGGGTCTGCAAGAGGACCTGGGAGTAAACAACCCACTTTCTGGAAGCTATGCTAGCAGGTAGTTAGTACTTCTGGTCTCTCCCTTGGAGCCCAAGAAGGGCTCACCCTGAGAAGCCCACCTTAAATATCTCTTCGCCTCTCCCACTGAAGTCCGCGAGAGCTGTCCCTCGGTCATCATCCTTTTTAATCAGGCATCTATTGGGGGGGGGGGGGTTCAAGTGTTTTAGGCACTTTTCTTCACTGGTTAGATGTCGGTTCCCACCCTCCCCACCCTGGAGAAAGACCCAAACCTTTGCAGACCACCCTTCAGCACTGCCCCAGTCAATGGAGTTTGTCGCTGAACTTTGGAGGAACCAGAAATCTACTCGAATCGCACGGACCACCTCATTTTCTTCACTCAAGCTCCTTTTCTTATGTTTCTTTTGCCTTCAAGTCATTTGTCTCTTCTGCAATTATTAACTTTCACTTACCCTGTGCCAAGATAACAGATCCAAGCACGGGCCCAGATAGGGTCTGCACTCTTCACGCTGCATGCACAGCCTACTCGACACCTGACTCCACCAGCTGACACTCCTCAAAGGAAAGCCATGCATTTCTCCTCCCAAAGACAGCCAAGCCACATTTTACTTCCACGCAACCTTAATTTCCATTGTTCCTAAAGCCCAGGACATCTAAACGGCTTTGCCAGCCACTCTCCATCTCATGGCATGACAGCATTGCTCTTTCTCTCACCAATCAGAAAGTCGGACATTTCTCTCCACTGGGTAACAGGGTGGGGGGAAGCAATAAATGTGGGATGCCGGGACAATGAGACATAAAGGAGAAAGTGTAGAGTGCTGGTGTGGAATGACAAGCATTCAGGACTTACTTCCTAAGACCTGAGGGGTAATGCCCATGCACACAGCTTTTATTCCAAGTCATAAATGTTACAGGTATAGAACCGATAAAGAACCAAGACAGTCTTCCTCCTTCGATCTCCTTTCTATGACCTCAACAGTGCTCCTACATTGACTGTGGTCCAAAACCAGGGCTGCAAAATACATTCAGTTCAAAGACTTAATGCTTCTTAGTTCAACGTTAAGTCCAAACCCCGAGAATCCACTAATGGTAAGTAAGTAGAGGGGTGTGATCATTTTTTAAAACACAGATGAAATTCACATGCACAGGTCTCTTGTACCCAAATCAGCATGATTTTTTTCCTTCATATAGAAGTCATATGAATTTGGGATCCCCGATCTCAGTGACAGCACTTTGCATTTCCAGTGGGGTCTATATAAACAGTTTCCTTGCACTGTGACAGAATCCTCAGCCGGCAAATAAAAAACAAACTTGCATGACACCGCAATACTGAGACCACCTTAGAGCTTAAGACGATTTTTAAGGAAAAAAAAAAAAAAATACTGGCACAAAATTTAATAAAATAAATTTTAACACAAAAACAGTTTGGGCTCTTCCCCACTGAAGTCCATCTTTGTTTCGAAAGTTGAGTAAAAATTAAATAGTCCTTGGTTTTTAGTGCATCCCCCAAACAAATGTTTCATCCCACCTCCCTCTTTTTTGCCCTCCCAGACCTAAAACCAAAAGCAAATTAATTGCCTTTTCATGGGTCTCAGAACTCCTGATGTGTCAATTTCTTTTGCTAATAGGTCCATAACTCAAGACATGCCTTTTTTTTTTTTTCATGGATGATTTTTAAAAAATAATGGGACGTGTTAGTCTCCCCCTCCCCTTAAGCCAGATCCTTCAAGCTTCTAAGAAGAACCCTTCTCTCTCTCTTCCTCTCTCTCTCTCCCTCTCCTGAAAATTTGCTCATGAATTTCTCGTCCCACCCACCCCACAAGTCCCGGCTCTCTTTTTCCAACTGTTCACAATTGATTAAGCTGCAGCTCACTTAGCTCCCACCCCTGAATGTAAAAAACGAGTTCTGGAAAATTAAAAATAGAATAACGATTAAAAATTAAGAGTCCGACCAACATGGTTGTTCTTCGAAATGTCTCAGCAGACTTTTCCCCAACCCCTTGGGTGTCCATCACTCATCGGCATCGGGTTTGACATCCAGCATGGCGTGGAGCTCCTCGGGCGTGTATCCCAGAAGGCTTTGTAGGTCGCACACAAAGCGGTACACGTAGCGTTTACCCGCGGTCTTGTGGATGATGTTTTTGTCATAATAGTAGCGTAGGCCACGGCTCAGTTTCTCATAATTCATCTTGGGCTTGTTTTTCCTTTTTCCCCATCTCCTGGCCACCTGAAATTAAACGAATAAAAAAGTGAAAAAGAGACGGGGTAAAAACCTAGAGGATAACCCAAGTAGACACGCTGATATGCCTGTGTATCCATCCACTCATGGTGACCCATGATGTCCAAGGAAGATGGGTGGAGACTCACGTGCACGGGAGATCTTGTTCTCACCCATCTATTCTGAATTCCCATTTTTAAGAGATGGGCAAGATTCTTTAAATTAATGAAAATACATTGATCCTGTGTTTCTGTGTAATGAAATGCTGGAAAGTATTAAAGTATTGGGGGGGGGGAAAAGACAACACTACACTACAGACTCTCCTCTTTCCTTCTGTTGCTGGTAGGCTATGCTCGCTTTGCAAGCGTGAAATTTAGTGTGAGGGAGTGGAGCCGATCATGCCTGCGTTTCATCAAAGGGCAGCATTTTTTCCGTACTGGGCGTGCTATCTTCTCTTGTCTGCCAGACCAGAGATGTCATCTCTCTTGTTCAGTGTTTTCAGCTCTGTCATGCTCAGACTAGGGCCTGGCAGAGATATGCATTTGTTGAAACCGATATATTAACGAACAGATTGTACTGATCTTCCTGTCCGACCCATTCCAGAAAAGGCAACCCATGTGTATGAAGGGCCCACAATGTGAATCCCGGAACACAAATGGGCAGTGTCGCTATGTCCTCTGCTGTCTGAAGGATGCAACTCAGTCTCAGACAGGCTACGTAACTGGCTCAAGATCATACAAGCACCGAGGGGCAGAGGTGGGGCTGGAATCCTAGGAAAGGGGCAGAGGTGGGGCTGGAATCCTAGGAAATGTCATCCCGGCCCACATAACCACTTTCCAGAGTTCCAGAGTTCACTCTCATCCCCCTTCCACACAGCGCTCGCTCGTCACTCCCTTCTTACCTCATCTGGGTCAGAAAGCTTGAACTCCCAGCCATCTCCTGTCCAGCTGATAAAAGACTGACAGGATTTATCAGTGAGTAATTCCAGAAGAAACTGCCACAGCTGGATTGGTCCACTGCCTGAAAACACAAGCCATTGTGAATCATTACACCAGACGCTCAACAGCACCAGCAATGAGTCCCATTACGCAGCGCCCCTCTTGCCTCCTCTCCAATCTGTCCAGCCCCGGGAGGATGAAGGCGGCATACAGCACAAAAGTTAGAGGAGGTACTGTGAGTTCACAAGGACTGAAAGGTAAAAAACTTTCTACCCCCCCCCAAAAAAAGCACTTACAATATACCATTGTCTTATCAATATTATTTTGATTGACTTAACGTTCAGTCCATTTTTACTGCAATGAAAATTCTAGAAAGAAAATTACTGGATCCATCCTCTGAGACATTCTAAGGCAGCATAATCCTTCGTGCCTTCAAGAACTAAGTCATGTTTGCTTTAATTAGTAATACAGTCATTAACTAAGGAATACCTTGCCACTTCCCATCTTAAGTCAAAGCTCTTAAGTGCTTCTCTGTATTAGAGAGCCTCCAGTCCCTGATTTGTAAGTGACAAGGATTGCTATCCTAAGGTCATCTAACAAGGACACAGAGGTTAGACATTCTTTTGGTCATAAGGTCATAATACTCTCCACCACCATCCCGTTCCCCCAGGCCACTTACAGGCAGCCTCACAAACTAAGAAAGGAGAGAATCAGCACTGTATAAGGGATTAACCTGCCACCCATGAAATCTTCAGAGGTCAGGTGAGGGCGGTCTCAGAAATTCTTCCTGGGTCAGTGTATTCTAACTTACACACACACACACACACACACACACAGTCCTCTTGTCTTAGCCACCAACACTGCCAAGATCTTAGTTCTGGAAAGCCAGACACACTCTGATAGTCCACTTATCTCACACTAAAGGATTTATGCTCATAGATTTCCTTGTAAGATAACTTTCTATTCAGATATGACAATGCTGCCAGTGATTCCAATCTCGTTCATGGGCGTAGCTGGAGGGAGAAACAACATGGTTCAACATTACGGTTCAAGTCCGTGGTGCTTGCTACAGGTCTACACTTATAGCACCATCTTAGAAGCCATCTTGGCAGAGGAGGAAAGACGAAGGAAGCAGGAGCACTCCAGCTCATACAGAGACACTTGACTTTCTAAGGCTCTCATCCTTAACCTGAGCTTCAGATCTGTCTGATCCAAAGGAAAGTGAGATTCAATGGGAAATAAACTTTTTTCATCTAGAAAGAGAAATGTTCTTATGATCTAGAGGGGTCAACTCTTGTTATACCTTATACTTCTACAAAATATGTTCCCATGCATCATTTTGCTAACTCCTAAAATCCACTCCCCAGCCCTCTCTACAGGCAAGGCACAACGAGTCTTAGTGTTTCCGTCCTATTAAGAAACAAAAAGAAAAATGTTCAGAAAATCAAGGTGACTTTGCTCTGGGGCATGGTGTGAACGTGATGGTTCTGGGTCCGGTGTCCAGGCCTCCAGACTCCAAGCAGCAGGGCAACAGCAGCTGACGTGGACATTCACTGGACAGCCAAAGGAAGCATCCCGCCCCCCCCCCCAACCCCAGCGGCTACTTGCTGGGGGCAAACCCCAGCGTGTCTCCAGCACAAGCCAAGCTAAAACTGGAAGATGAAACAGCTTCACTTCATCCTTCTAAGAATGCACCTTGCACTCTCGAAAACCATCCTGTAAGAAATACCTTATGCATATTCTAGAATGAGATGATCCCGTGGACCTACAAAATAACTGAGCATTCAAAGAAACAACCCAGAAGGTGACCCCAGGAAAGCCTTACCCTCTTCTGTTTCTCAGCCTGTTAAAACACGGTTTTGCTTACAACTCGGGCATACTGGCAGGTTTCATGGGCCTTGAGTTCAAGGTGCCAGTCACTACTGCCTGCCTGGGCTCACAGGACGACACGGGACATTATGGGAGGAATTGGTGGAGAAGCCATTCTGGACAGGAGGCATCAGTCCACACGTCTCTATTAAGAAAGGCTGTGGAATCTCTGCTAGCCAAGAAATTCACAAATAGCCACTGAAACAACCCGGCAAAAGAGCAGCCTTCCAGAAGAGGCGCAAAGAGGACACTACACCCAACAGGACAGCACTGTCTTCCTACTCTTTGGGAGAGAGACATAACCAGGAACAGTCAACTACTCGGAAACCGCGTGAAGGAGCCCTGGAGTCCGCAGTCAGTCGTCTCCCGGGCCACGCCCACAGACAAGCGACGGAACACGGAGAGAGAGGAGTCACTGTAAGACCCCGGATGAGGAAAAGTGCAAACGAGAGCTCGGGCGTGTCGCACACTCACGTGCACTGGACACTGTGCGTAATGCTTTATGTTCATCTCATTTATTCCTTATAGTAACTCCAAGGAGTAGGTACTAGGACTCGCAAATTTGTTTTTCCATTTTCACAACAGAGGACACTGAGTTCCTGGGTCACTTGTCCCCTGGCCTCATCCAAGGCCATTCGGAAGTAAAATGGCCGTGAATGGAACCCAGGTGGACTGACCCCCAAATCCTTCAGCTTGGCACTGCTTTGTCCTTATGTAAGACCCACCCAGAGGCAGAAATCTGAACGGGCGGCCTGGTTGAGAGGAGCCACGGGATAAAAGGACCAAGCTTTAAAAAAAAAAAAAAAAAAAAATCTCTTCCTCACCGCTTATAGCAGACACGGGACACTGGGCTGGCCGGTGGTTTTCCTGATTGACCATCCAACCACTGGGGACATTGGTATTCACCTTGGTATGTCCAGCCCCATGAGTCCGTCCCCTCCTGGTAGCTGTGAGGCTAATGTTACTTCACTGTTTCTCCCTCTCACTATTTACCTACAAACCTCTTTCCCATTATCTTCACATTCCTTTGGGGAGTGGAGGGCTAGTCACACCAAGCTCAGCAAAGGGGAAGGAAGGACATTTTGGGATCCTTCTACCCAGGCAAGTCCTAGTCCCTGGCAGGGAGCAGCAGGCACATCTCAAGTCCTAAAGAGAGAGACTCAGGAACATATCCCAGGTCCTCGCCCTTGGGATCCCTGGGGCAGCCAGAAAGTGCAAAGGGGATGCGTAAGCCCTGTCGCCGGAACCAGCTCACGGAGGCACAGATGTCAGACAGAATTATTCCTGCTCTTTCTCCTGCCCAGTGCCATTTCCCAAACTGAAATGTCAGAGGGACAAGTTCTATCTGTCTGTGCCAACCCTGCCTCTCTGGGTGGCCAGGGGTGGGAGGGGGGCAGGGTAAACCCTTATCTGTGGGTTTGGTGGGTTTTTTGTGTGTTTTTTGTTTGTTTGCTTTTTGTTTTTTTGGTCTCATTGTGAATTTTCCTCTGTTCAAAAGGAACATAAAACTGTGAAATCTGGGAACTAGGAGCCCAGGTCGTGGGTGAGATACTATCAGCTTTTTTTTTTACTATTAACAACAAAGGCAAGAGGGAGCATATATAGGAAAGCCAGATGCCTAACCAAAGCACAGGAACTTGAACAGGGAGGAATGTCTCTTGAAAGCTTCACAACAAGAAAGTCAAAATAGGGTGATGTCAGCTCGAGTCTCTGTTCCCTGACTCTCCAAGGAAGATCCCGGAAGCCCAGCCAGGGCTGACAGGCACACGCAGGGCTCCTGCCGTGGGATTCCTAAAGTGGCTGTTCGCCCTTCAGAAAGCTCAGGATGTGGTGCCAAATGAAAGGAATCCATGAGATTAGCCCCCCTCCAAAGATTCCTCCCTTTGGCTGACTCCCAAAGGGCGCTTTTGGTGGTGGGGAGCCATAAATAGGAAGGACGTGGAATTATTCTCCCAGTTGGAAACGCCAGGTCTCGGTAAGAGCTCTGGGTCCGGGGTAGGTCCATTATCCAGCTGGAATTGTGGACAGTCCTGCACAGGAGCCTGGTCACGTTCATTGCAGGTCTGGGAAGGGATATCAGGATCCCCGGAGGGAAGCACACAGCTGGCAGGGAGCTCCAGGATGGCAATGCACACTGGGTGACCCCGCCTGTCCCATCCATGTCTATAGGCCCACAGGAACTTCCTAGGCCCCAGACTTGTTGAAACCCGGAAATGAGACTCGCAGTGCTGGTCACAGACTCTCCCAGAGGATGTTTCTAGGTGGCTTAGTGTATCTCAGCCCAAATCCCTGGGGCTGCAGGGCTCCTCCCTCCCTCGCCCTTGCTCCAACATATCCTCAAATTGTAAAGCCTCTTCCTCATTCTCCCTGTGCCTCCTCTCACTCTGGGCCCAGCCCCATCCACCCACCCAACTGGACGGTGCTCCCAGTGACCTTTGTCCCAGGGAGCAGAGAATGGTACTAAGAATAGTGCCAGTCATGGGAAGGGGGAGTTCACACACTCAATGTGACTCACAATGGTGTCCCTGTCTGGGGGCCCCAAGGCAGTCAACGGCGTCCTTCACCATGCTGCCCCGGGGTGTCACACATCAGGAATCCGGTGGCATCACTGGGAAACTATGCTTCTCAAGTATAAACTCTCAGCCACAACAACAGAGGGGTCCCTGTTAGAAGGAAGTCTCTCTCCGAAGAAGTGAAGGAGGGAGGGCTACACACACATACACACACACACACACACACACACACACACTGGCTGGGCCCCACACACCCTGACGACTGCTCCCTCCAGCCCCCTCGCCGGCTGCAGCTGGGGGATTTCCTCTGCTGGCTTTGTTCTTCTAAGCTTCTGGGTAAGAGGAGAGTTCTTAGTACAACAGTGACAGTCCTGATCTGAAGAACGTGACCGAACCTCAGAAGCAGAAGTGTCAGGTGGGGACCCTCAAAGCACTTGAGATCCAAGTTGTTAGTCTCATTTTTTTTTTTTTTTTAAGACAAAGCTTCAGGTAAATTCCTTCTCATCCAGGTGATGTTTTAAGTCCCTTCTCTTTGTCTAGGAACTGGAAGGCCCACCATCTCTCTTGAGGAGGGCTAGTTATAAAAAATCCCCTATAGTTTTGCTGCTATGGTTGCATGTTCCCCAACTCCAAGTCTAAGTGAACAAGTTCAATACACAGCCATGGGCAAGGACAAGATCTTACTAAGATCCTCCTGGGA